TTCGGAGTGTTTGAAAGCATTTTATCTGCGATATATAGAGGGACAGCGACACACTATTTGCATCGCATACAGTTTGTGAGGATTACACGATCCACCGAGAGGCACAGCAAAGTGCTGCCTCATCACACATCTCCTCCATGTATTTGAATGGGACATACGGAAATTCTGCTATTCTTTATTGAAAAAAATTCCTTCAACATCGGATTCGAACGGCAAAAGGGCCTACAACACACACCAGCCGACAAATATTAACATTTATTATATTTTATGGTTAACTATTTTTTCTTTTCAAGATTGACAGGGGAGGCTCTGCCTCACCTGCCTCCCCTGACCGCACGTCACTGCTAATAATTCAAGAAGAGACCCACAGCCACAGGTAGTCTGCATTATCACAGGTAAAATATGTCACTGTTTTTCACAATTACCTTAATGCTCAAAGAGCCATTAAAAAGCTAAAGCAAATATCGAGAATGATCCAGCACATTAGGAGTGAAACGAGCACAGTCAAACTAATCTCAGAGGTTCATTACTCAATGTCACTCCCTTGCAGCTGCCAAAGGCATGAAGGCTTTGACTTGGCAGAGAAAGCACTTAAATGAAGCTGTGCATATTTTCCATAGCTCTGTTCTGAAGCAGTGCCACTTCAGCTTCGCAGGCTGCACTGCCAGTCACTTTTATCTCCTTGACCTTTATTTGCTTAAACAGACACATCTGGTCCCTCTTGACCTGAGGATGTGTCTCATTTCTGCTGCTGCTTCTCTCAGGTGTCACAACCTCCAAATGTCACACTACCTCTTCTTACTCTAATCAGTCGCTCTTTACATCTGAAGGCAATATTGAGGTTATTTCCTTTTACCATCTCAGGCTGCTAAAGCCAAACCTTTCCTCAGGATTTTTCAGTACAAAGCCTACCTTCATTTCTCCTGAACATTCTGCAGATAAGCAAATACTCCCACCTGTGTTATGTAACAGCCAGCTTACATGATTCAGCTGCTAACAGAATGCACATCATGGCCTCGGCGACTTAAACAGTCCTACTCTTTGCTTCAGTTTATCTATCGTCATTACAGTTTACTGGCGAGATGGCCTGTGTTCACTGGCTCTCAGAAGTAATCACAACAGTAAAGTGACTCAGTCTCTTCCAGCATGGACTTGCATACTCATCTCTTTTAAGGAATGAGTCTCTTCCTGCTTTCCTTTCTATTTCTGCTGTACTTGTGTTCAATCTCAGTCCAATTTTTCAACAGTTTTAAATGAGCTGAGTGGGCGATTCACCATGTGTTCCATCTGTGATACAGTAGATTTAATATTTTAAAGTATGAAAGCATTTTGAAATGATAGTTAAATGCTGAGTCAATGCCTGATCTTCCCACTGATCTCTCACAGTTACAGCAGCTGCAGCACAAACATTACAATACATAATGTGTTGTAGATCAGATGGGTTACCTCCATTCTTTTGATGCCACCAACGCCACGTCCTCCATAGTACGAGGCATCCACAGTGGGCCACCTCTTTTTTGGAAAGCCATCCTCATCATCCTAGAGAAGAAAGACAGTTGCATTTATGTTTGCAAGAGTGAACAAGTAGATGAGACTCGTGATGAGCAGCAGATGTGGGACCACAGCGCTCAGACTGGCTACTAGGTTATTTTCCTGAGCAGTGGTGCCTGTCGATAAGAGCATAATTTAGGCTGACATGTGCTGCAGGCTGCTCTTAATCAGTGCTCCTCTGTACTGTATGTTGGTTGTGTGTATGTTTTTATTTATCAGTTTGAGAAGAGGCTTTCATTATTGTAAAAAAATAATAGTGCAGGAAAATACATATAATTTTGTCATTACAATGTGGACAATAGAACCACTTACAGAGTCGTTATCTATTACTTGAGGAGGTGGCTCATGAATGATCTGCAAACAAGAAAGATGTATTGTAAGCCTCAAGGGATAGCGAGTGCATCATAATAAAAATATTTTCCATTGTATGTTCTTCACTCTACAAGGCTCCAAGATGGCTGTCATACAGTACCACAGTGCAGCAGAGAGGCCAGAACCACCACAGCAGAGCAATGGTGAGCAGCAGCAGCAGGATGAGCAGGGCGATGGCCACAAAGGTCCCATCAGACTAGAAGGGATGGTAGTTAAGAGACATAACCAGCGTGCGTTACGATCACTATGACTGCACCAACAAGCCAGTTGTTTTCAGAGCTCACCTACATCAGTAGACACTTGTGCATGCAGGACAACCATGTTTTACATTATACTTACACAAGTGACTGCAGTAATTGTGACCGAGCTCGATATGAAGCTCAAGCCATTATTCATGCTGACGTGGAGAGTGGCCGACCTGTAGAAACAACAGGATGTGGTGAACATGTCAGTTCCTCGGCTGTCACATTCATTGCTCCTGTATCCCTGCACCACGGCTAATGCATGTTGATTGTAGTTATTAAGAAATGAAAAACAACATTTGCCATTTTCAGTTAAAATCTTACATGAGAAATGTGCAATGATCCTCAGTTATGAACACAATATGTTTTACGTAGTGAAACTATAGATTTCATTCATCATCATTAAGTGTTGTGGGTCATGAAACTTTGATATGAAGATACTATCACTTGTGTAACAGTAGTCACTTACGTTCCTTCTTTTTCCAGAGCTGGAGCTGGGCACAAAAGGTAGGTGTCTCTCACCACCAAAGGCCTTTTCACTGTGGAAATTGAACAAGAACTGGTATTTGTAAGGTATGTTAAAAGATAAGTTACTATCAGTGGTGGAAGAGGAAAGTGATGCAAGAGAAAAGCTTGTTTTACGTTTCTCTACCAGCCTTGAAATGTCAGCAGTCAAGGCTCAAAATATTCCCTTTGTTATTCAATTCTTGGACTTCCTCTCCTTATGGAAAAAGAGGGAGGGCTGTGGTTTATTTACCCTGGCCTGGTGAGCGTCTGCTGTGTGCAAAGACGGTGCTCGTTCCTGATGAGATCTGCATTCCTCTTTAGACATATTAGATGCGCTGAGTGTTATACCAGCTGATTTAAAAGAGAGGGAGATGGTGGTTTTTGATGAGGATGGGAATTTATATTATTTTGAGCCACAAAGAGCTGCTCTCTCCCACCCAGCCCCGTCTGCACTGCCAAAATAAACTTGGCACATTTATGCAAATGGATGCTGAGTGGAATCCAAAAGACTGCTGCTTTTCGATTTTGTCTACAGTATTAGTCGAGAGATGAATGGTTTAGATTCACAAACCCAAAGTGTGTTGTTATTGTTTGTTATCTACACTTCACAATATAATATGGACAATAGAGGATGAGGGATATACAGTCTACTTCTATCAACTTAAACAAAAGTTATTTTATTCACTATAACAGCAACATGCTCTCTTCCAATGAACCGCATGTTAGAGTCAGAGTGGCTATTTCACCATTTTCAGCCTTCTTGCTAAGCTAAGCTAAGTGACTGCTGGCTATGAGTGACAAAGCCAATAATAAATGTCAAACTCAAGTAAATTTTAACTTTTCAGTTCTATGATTCTCTTACGGTACATGGGTTTTCATAGTTTCACGGTGTTAAAAATTTGGCCCTTCATCCAGCTCTACACGATATTACCACTGACTTGGTTTAAACTGATTATATTGCGGTAAAGAAACTCAGCTACTTAAAACCGCATTAATGCGTTTATTTTTCTTTTGCCCGCTTGGTGACAGAATTCCCCAACAAGCTCATATTTAACATATTACTGCCTTGTAAAGTTAACATGGCGAACGTGTTGGCAAATGCGTAGGTCTACACATCCAGCTGACACACAGCTCTTTTGAAATCAAGTCTCTGGTGGCCTGATGAATGTAAATCCCATATGCTCTGTCCTTTTAGCCCTGTGTTTGGTCTCTACCAAGCCCTGACAGACAAATCTGGCTTTTTAACTGTTAAATGTTGCGTTATATTCACCAGCTAGTCTCAAAAACCATAATACTGACCTTGAAGAAGCTGTGCATGTGTTTTCACTGTCTGCCTGCAAAAGTGAAATATATCACTGAAATTCTAGATACTTACTCAAAGTAACTGTGTCATTGATGCGGAAGCTGCACAGAACTTTCTGTACATCCCGGGCATGGAGGAAGCCATTTCCTTTAATTACCACCTGGAAGGATTCTGAAGTGGAATTATATTGACAATTTATGTTATTTTTCCTTGCAGTAGGTTATTTAATAATGTGCACTATTGTTTTAAAGAAGCATACAGTAGGTAGCATCATCATTGTGGTGACAGAATAACATGCTTGTTGAGTTTTTGTGGTCCTCTGTTGTTTACCTCCTTCACAGATGCTGGAGGGCTCTACGGCCAGAATCTCAATGCAGGATCTTTTCAAGATCTGAAAGGGACAATAATATAACATGACGAGCTCAAGGTACAGTAGATTAAATTTAGCTGTTGAAGTGTTTAATCAGGAAGTGTCATGTTTGTGTCTTTTATACCGAGTCAATGACCCCTTGTAACGCCTCAAATCCATCATTCACAGGGAAAACATGGTCCTTGCTGTCAGCTATTGTTGAAAGCTGTCAAGACATTTGACTGAATGATTAAGTATCAATTACTTGGCCCACTGGTTTACTGGTTTATTGGTTTACCTGGGTTTCATTGAAGTCCTTTACTCCCACACAGTACACAGTGGCACCCAACTGGCGTGCTCTGCTGGCCTGATTTAAAATGTTAAGCAAAGAAACAAATAAAATGATAGTTGGTCACTATAACGAGGAGAAACATACTGTTGTACTGCTCTTTATGGGCTAAAGCGTCACAGTTTGTTGTGCTTGTGGCTACGCCTCCATCACTGATGTCACTGCTGGTGTTATGCCACCAGTTGGAAAACATCTGTCTCACCTCTCTTTGGGCCAGGTCAAACTGATTTTCTCTCAGTTCACCATCCGTCAGGGCAATGATGACACTGGCTGTGCGGTAACCTGATTGTCAGAGTCAGATGGTGGAAAAACTGTTTAGTGACACAAAAGTCTCATCCAGTGAAATTATTCCTACTGTACAGTAATTTTTAAAGTGAGAATATAGGTGAACCAGCTGCACGAAAATATTTTGGACATATTCTCATTTATAGGTCATGAGAAGAGCAGCTGTGCATCTGTTGTTTGTCTCATTGTATCTGATGATTCTACCATGTTTGAATTGTGTTCTAACAAAAGGATAAAAATATTTTTTATTATTAAGTGCTAAAAACAAAAATGTTCTACTCACCATCTCCGGTGCCATAATAGATTTGCTCACTGGCCTGAGAGGGAGGTTGCGAAACGTCAGTGGCGTCAGTTTAAATGTGAGCGACATGCCATAGTGTTGGCTAAACAGGGTGAGTTTCTCATTGACCTACTCTGACAGATGACTTACTCTTTGAAAACCTTTGTCCATGAAGGTGTCTCCGCCCGGCTGCACCATGTGTAGCTCCTCCAGTCCAGCCCGAATCTGATCTCTGATCATTGATGTATTCCAGAGATTGAAAATGAATATTAATTTAAATTTGATGATACAGGTCAGAAACGTAAGGTAGATATAAAATAGAAGAACAAAATGTGATATGTGTCAAGTAGCTCTGTGTATGTGTCACCTGTCTTCTGTTAGTGCCATGAGAGTCCTTCCTTCTGTTGAAAATACAATAAAAGACATCCGCAGCTGAGGACTGGGGAAAAGAAAAAATGCGTATCATGTTTTACAGTCTATTATTGCCTTGTTTCTTTGCATCCCAGCATTTTCAGTGTGGACATACCTGATAAACTTGTGAGCCAGGTGGTAAACAAAGTAGTATATCTCGTTCCAGTAATGTTGCACGCTGCCAGACCTGAAAAGAGTTTTCAAGGAACTTTTTTACCTTGTCACAGTCCTCCGCTTTCTGCATTTTGACATCATACAGTAATTTTAAAAGTCTATTTCAGGCAGTTAGTATTGCTCTTCCATATAGTTAGGAGATTTGCAAGAAACAAAGAAATGCTTAAATTAAAATGTATGCAGCAGGGACAACATACAGTTGTTTTTACAGATCTTGTAGTACTCCTGATGATAGATACTCTCATATTTGTGCATATCTGACCAAAGACAGCATCATTCTAGCACCACAATTATATAACATCATAATATAGGGCTGCAACTAATGCTTATTTTACTATTAATCAATCTGTCCATTATTGGTTAAATTGTTTGATATAAAGAAAAAATTCCCAGAATCCAAGGTGTTTTGTCTAAACAACTATTCAAAACCCAAATATATTTTATTTAAGAGGAGATCGTCACATTTCAGAGGCTATAACAGGTAACTTAGTTTCTATTTCTGCTTTGATAAATTATTTAAATGATTAATTGATTTTCAAATGTGTTGCCTGTTATTATAGGCACAATAAAATTGAGCTGATTGATTATTAGATCAGCTGATATACTGCTTTAGCTCTAATACAACATAATCTGAAATATCTGAGACTGATCCAATGTACAGCACAGTCACCCTAATCTGTGCTTAGTGTTACAATGTAAGAGAAGCGATGTACACTGAAATAATAACAGTTATTCAGATACCAAAACTGAATGATTTATTATGCAGTAGCTTCTTCTTGTGGATTTGTTTTATTAACTGTCATCATCTTGTATGTACAGTATATGGGTAAAGTATGAGCCCACGTACTAACCAAGATGAGAGAGGACCACTTGTGTTACCTTCTGAGAGCTGATGCTTACTAGTTTATGTTCATATGGATTTACTGCCAGTTCGTAAATGCCAAACAAAAACTAAAGTGCCACGTCATTCTGTCAGATGAACTCAGCTTTATGCCGGATCCTGATTTTGCAACAGGTGCAGACTTGAGCAAACAATCAGCAGAAGTAGAACATCCGCCTTCAAAGCAAAAGTGAGTAATTAAAGAGAACTGTGAAGCAAATAACCTCTACAGCCTCGTCTCACACTGACTGTGCTGCCTCTCTTCTTCTCAATCCCTTATGTTTTCACTTATCCTGTGATGTGAGTCTCAGTGCAGAGACAGCCAAAAGCTTGGGATCTCTGGAACATCTGGCTCTGATGGAGAAAGGGTTCTGCAGACTGAAGCAGGGGAATGCTCCTGTCAGTGAAGTGTGGACACAGTCTGACAACAAGATTCCCTGGAGTGTAATTTATTATTGAACTGAATGCATAAACACACTGCAAATGTGTAAGCATACTTGTATCAGATCTTACTACTTTAAGTTATTCATAGGGACTGTATTGATTGCAGAGAGCATCTACACTAACACAGCTGCAGTGTGTTTTTCAGAAATGTATGATATTTAAAACAAAGTTGACAAAACTACAACAACACACATGACCTGGTGTGACCCATTCAGGGACGTCACATTAGCTCAATGTCAGATTCATAGACAATGTAATTTAACTCCTGTGTCAGCCTGCAGAAATATGCTTCTCTGTTTGTTAAATAAATAAATAAAACAACATTAATTCAATCTGCAACCATTTTATTAACACACACACACATTTATTTCATCACTTTCCAAAATAATTATCCAGTTCCAGTTTCTCCAGTGTGATGACTGTGTCTGTTTTTCAGTTTTATATAAATGGGCTGCTGACATTTATACACTAGCCCAAAATCACTAGCCAATTAATCAACAAAATAATCTGCAGAATAATCAGTAATGGAAAAAATGACCAGTAAAATGAGCTGCTATGCTATTTACATGTTTGCTTCTTAGTTACAAAAACTGCAGCTGTGAAATACTGTGGCAGATACACACAACATTATGTACCACTATTTAACCTTTAGCTAACCTCTGACATGTCGCTTGAAACAATTCACCTGCATATGTTTCTCTATGGAGCCCAAAACCTGCTCCATTTTAACACTTTTAATCAAAAGGCTGTAGCCTGACAGTGACAGTACATGAATGCATCTAGAGAACATAAATGATATCTGCACCTGTCTTCACTTATGTCGCCTCTCAAATGCACCAGGAATTAACAGCTCTCTTTTCTAGTTAATTAAAAATGGTAGCACTTACTTGTCCAGAACAAAGTAGAGGTCAAATCCTCCGTAGCAAGATGACCCTGCCTCCCTCCCATCATGCATCTGTCCTGCACTCCCGGCCACCAGGACTGCCACCAGCATGCTTAGCTCCATAATGAGCAGGACCTGCCTGCACCAGCGTTGAGGCATCACTCCACACCTATGAGAAAGCATTAGCTCAAGCTGGGAGTAGGTAAACATAAATATTCTCCTGTCTGATTTTTCCTTTCACCTTCTCCCTCACAGCACTGTGATGTAGTGAGCCATGCTGTGGAGACTGATCTCCAAGGCATGTAGCACTCCTCTATGGATCAGTGTCCCATCTTCTCAGCAACAGATGTGTGCTGACAGAGGAGGAGGGAAGCTGGTGGGACGAAGTCACCGACTCCCTCCCTCTCACACTCAGTTGTATTAGCCCATGGTGTCATGAGCTTGAGCAGTTAAACAAAACACACCTCGGAGTATGTGCTTTACTGCTTCTTTTATATGTTTGTTTGAATGACCCTATGGATTTCATCACCCATTTGTTCTTGCTTTGTTTTTCTTTCACTTTTCTTGTAGGTTTACTCCATTTTAAACCTGACCCACCAGTGCCACTTAGTGGTAAACACGTACATCAGGCAGTTCACCGCACTTAAAAGAAAAGAAATGCTACAGGTGTTCGTGACATTCCTCCTTCTTCTTTCATGCTCTTTCTGGATTTTTTTGTGCATATTTCATCCCTCACCTGTCCACCAGATGTCCTTGGCCTGCTTCTCTGCTTTTTGCACCTGCACCGCAATGTTAAATATGTGCTGCTGCTGCTCATCAACAATGACTGTCTGTGTGTAAATGAAAAAGCCAGATTTTGTGTTGCTTAACTGCTGTAGCATTCAAGCTGTGCTTTGTTTCCTGTTTACAGACTAGGCTGCAGATTGAGCTGTTGTCTTGTGTCAACAACATTAACATTTTGCTGAAGTTTCTATTTTTTGTAAGTTTCAAACCTCTAAGACCACAGTGTCTGTAGCCTGCATGATTTATGTTGATTGAAAAATCAAACTACAAAGGAAATTGAGTTGATTTGTTGGTGAAAGTCCATTCTACACTGTGCAAAGTGACAAAGGCTATGTGAAGAAACGACAGCAGAGGCACCCTCCTGCAGCCTATGAGAACATATTGAAACAATGCCAGGCTCAACATACAAACCTCAGACGTTTGCTTTAAGGTTCCAGTGCTGTCCCAAATGATTTATGCCATTAATCTAAAGTAATTAATAGACATTTTGGAAAAAGATTTGGTTTTCTACTGAGAGTTAGATGAGAGCTGTACAAATGAGACATAGCATATTAATTAGATTTAGAGGTGCAGATAAGTGGTTTCCTTTGGACCAAGCCAGAGGAGCTGCTTCCCCCTGGTTCCAGTCTTTATGTTAAGTTAGCCACCTGTTGGTGGTTGCTTCATGTATGAATGACAGATATGAAAGTGATCTTCTCCTGTGACATGGACCAACAAAACAAATATTTCCCCAAAATGCCGAACTATTCCTTTAAAGCCATGAAAGGGGGAAGATGTTTCAGTTCTTACATTGTTCTTAAAATGTGTACTTTAAGTATTTTTCTGCAAATGTCATAAGAAATGTGTGTGTGTGTGTGTGTGTGTGTGTGTGTAAGCCAAAAATCAGCAGCTGGTGTATCAAGAATCAGTTCACCTACTGTATTTATGTCTATGAAACATCAGGGCATAAAAACCCTGTGATGGTTTTGTTTGAGTAAACATCAGCATATCTTATGTAACTTAATTTAATGTACTGCCACAGTGTAAAGATCACATGGCAGGAGCTCTTATTTGTTTATCATTTTTAGACCATTTAGCTTCCTTATGATCTAAGATCCTATAAAACTAGTATTAAATGAATTCATTCAAACAAAGAGAAAGAAACATTACAGGAGGTTTAGCACTTCTGTGAATGCGCAGGCTATAGCCGACTGGCTTCAGGTGAAGTACCTCTCTGGCGCATGGCTGTGTGTTTGCTGTGAACTCTGTTAGCTCTGCTCTCGCTCCTGAATGTCAGTGAATTACTGCTGCCGCACGGAGTCATGGCCAAACAGCGCTGTTTATAAAATAACCCTGCCGCAGTCGAGGAACTTTGTGTGCTTGTTTAGCTTAACCTTTTCTTTCTAACTGCTAGATATTTGGTGATAATGGAAGTCTCTCCTGTATTTTTGTTCCTGCTGTGCGGTCTGTGCGTTTCTCTGGCGGTTGACTTGGGGCTTGTGGACGCAAATTATCTCGATGATGATGCAGCTGACTACAAGGACCCTTGTAAAGCTGGTACAGTACATTTTGCCTCCTCTAAAAATGTATGTATTTATATATTTTATTTTATATATATTTTTTGCATTTCTTGTTTGTGTATGTATCTTTTGGCCAGCTGCCATTTAGGCCCTATTTTCTGTGAGTTATAGGCTGATAAAACGGCTGAAACCTTTAAGTTAATGTAGTCCTTAGTGGTGGTGAGCTTAATGAAGTGGGAAATGTAAGACTAATGCAAACATGTACAGTACAGTATATGCAAAAAACATATAATATTAATACAAATGTATTGACAGTTATATTTAACCAAAAATATGTGTGATTCCTTTCATTTAAAGCTGTTAATTATAGTTGAGTAAAAAGTGCAATATTTGTCTCAACACTGTGGTGAAGTAGGAGTGTAAAGTACCAGTGCTGATGAAAAATACAAGTTGCTCAAATGTATAATGTTTATCATTTAATCTTGCAGTGACCTTTATTACCTTAAGCGAAGAAGCTACTTCCTTGACACAGCAAACAGTACAGTTATCAGTGATTTTACTTAAGTGCAGTATTTGAATAAACATACACAGTGACATTACACTGTTAAGTTCAAGGGATTAAAGTATGTCCAAGTTTCAAATGTTAATAAAATGATCTACTTAGAAAAAGAACAATTTGATAAATCATATTGAAAACTGATATACAAGAATGGCAAAAGTTAAGTCATGGATTAATAATGAAATTTTATACGTATCTACAGTTGTTGGCATGAAGCTGACAGGGTGTCTCTGATTGGTGAAATCTATCTGTCGGTCCTTTATAAGGTATAAAGAAAATACAGTTTTTCCATTATCTAACATGCCAAACAGTTATTCTGCTTATTACGACAACCTTCAGCCAGTTGTATTTTTTTTCTACTTTTTTGTGACTTGACAAACCTCAAAAACACACCATTCTTGTTTTTCAAGACTGTTGCCTGGAGACTAGAGGTCACTGAGGCCATGCCAGCATCGTCCAAGGCTGGAAGCTGGTGTAATCCCTCTGGCTTCAGGGCATGGGGTGCACACTGCAGGGGCGACAGTCATTTACAGTCGCCTTTGCATGAGTGAATTCACTTCAAAGGCCGACACAGGGCTATGTCTTTTCATTTGGACTTTCAAATGTTGTTACATGACATGGCTAAATGAGGTATTTGATTGGGAAGCCAATGTTCTGCTTGACTAGTACAATATGAGATCCAGGTTCATGCAGGATTTACTTTCTAAATGATGGAAACAAACTTTTAAAGCCAGAGAAGGATAAAATCTAGTGTGTGAAGTAAACAGACACACCTCATTATATGACCTCTCTTTTGACATATTTTTTATATATATATACAACCACAACTGAGCCTCACGTTAAAGGATATGAAATTGGATATTTTGATTATAATTTCTTATAATTTAGACTTTTACTTCTATTCACTTTAAGAAATTAGTAATACATTATAATATACTAACTAAAAACTGAAGTTACAATAAAGCAACTCCGACATCACAGTAGGCAAATCCCTCTGACCTGATAATCACCTTTTAGACCTGTCCCCTGTGAGTGGCCTCCTGGTTCTAAATGTAAAGAGTGTGTTGGCTATTCAGGGAGAAAGGAAATCAATATTAGATCTCATATCAGCCAAAAGAACAGGCTCCATGCACTTTTATCTATATCCCCAGCTGTAAGGATCAGTGTTAGTTCCTTGACATTTTAATGTGTATATGTTATTCTTGGGCAGTGTCATTAGGAGAAAGCACATCTGCTTCCATTGCTATGCTAATGACACTCAGGCCCAGTGTTACCGTGTCGTCTGATGACAAAGGGCCAATTGACTCCCTTTTTAACTGTGAAAATTTTGCAGCTCAGCCAGGATAAAACAGAGGCAGGCTACTGATGGCCAACAAACTAAACACACATGGGTTCTCTCCAAGCCAAGAAGCAAGAATAATGGAGTGATTTTTAATTCTGATTTTAATTTCAAACATACAGTAGTTCTTAACTGGATGGTGGATTATCACAGTCCAGCTTGTCATTCACAAGTGTCCTGTAATGATGATTTCACAGGTAGAGAAATTAATTAATTGAGCCATTACATCACATCATCAGGTATGCAAAGGTTTTTGCTACCATGTTGGTTTCATTCCCAGGTTAATCGGTCACTCATTTAAAAGCTGGTTGTTGGATTGTATATAGCTGTAGAAAATTTGCCAAGGAAATGCTGCACTTTAGGAAAGTTTTATTACACTGTTATACTAACATTAATGCTATTCTAAATCATTATGAGCAATGTTAAATTAGTATTTTATGAAGTCATATCTCTGATCACTGACCAAGGCACTTTACTACAAGATGAGTTGTTCAAATGTGAAAAAAACAAACCTATGAAAACATCATCATTATCCCAAATTATATGAAGCTCCAGCAATAATGGTTAAGTAGAAAATATTTGTAATGTACAGTAAGTTGCTGTCTGAGCATTTGTTCAGCAATGATGCAAAATCCAGCACAGTGTGAGCACAGTTCTGTAAAGTATTCAGTTCACCTCTTTATTTGTTAGAATGACACAGTAGCTGGACAGTCCTCGGGTGCGCTTCATGTTGTGTGTACCACAGACTGTATTCAGGAGGTGTGTTTGCTGATCAAACAGACAGAGTCCTTTTCAGGGCACAGAAATGCACTGTAGACACAGTAAAGCCTGCACTGAATTTCAGGTAAAGTGTTTTACAGTAAAAATCAGTGGAAATAGGTTCAGACTATAGCAGTCAGCTGCTCATACAGCTGCAATTCTGTATGACTGACAATATTGTTTTGTAAAATAACATCACTTTTATTTAAGAGTAGTTTCCTTTTTCAGAACGGGTTTGTACTTATAAAACTCTGTAGGCCTACTTAAAGAAACAGAACATACTGTATTTTGGTAAATACTTAATTTTTTGTCTCTCCATTAAATATAAGCTTGGAGATGATTAGTTTTGCTTGACATAAAGACAGAGGGACGCTACTTGCTTGGCTTTGTCCAGTGATTTACAAAAAACACCTACCTACCTGCACCTCTAAAACAGATTATTTAACATCTGTGCGTTCTTCTGTCTGCCACAGCTGCCTTTCTGGGAGATATTGCTCTGGATGAAGAAGACCTCCGCTTGTTCAAACAGGCCCAGACCACTGAAGGTGCACATCACAGTCTCCAGAAAAACCGAACAGACTCAGGAATCAAAGCAGGAATTAGTTTATTAACCCATAAATATTCCGACTCTTAGTGTTCAAAATGTGATTTGAACTTTGAAAATAAAAGGATGAGTCACAGATTTATTGTGCTCTTGTTACAGTTAACCGTTCTGCTTCCAATGAGAGTGTCAGGAATAAAAGAGCTGCACTCAGACAGAGTCTCCATCGTCTGAGGAGAGCAGCCACCTCCAGACCTGAGAGAGTGTGGCCAGACGGCATCATCCCATATGCGATCAGTGGAAATTTTAGTGGTGAGCTCTTAAAGAAATCAGTAAATCTTTCAGTTGTTCTTATAAAGGAGCTGTCTACAGCAGCATGTGCTCGTTGCTGTGTGCATTTATGACATCCTGAAGCTGCCAGACTCTAACTCACAGTCTCCTTTCAGGCAATCAGCGAGCCATTTTCCGTCAGGCAATGCGTCACTGGGAGAAACACACTTGTGTGGCATTTACTGAGAGGACAACTGAAGAGAGCTACATCGTTTTCACCTACAGACCTTGTGGGTCAGTTTGGAGCTAATTAACCATTTTTAAATATGGAAATAAATGGAAAGTAAAAGCTACCTGTAGGAGATTGTAGGAGAATGACCTCCAATAATCTGAATAAGATGCATTCAAAACTTATCAGCAAAAATGTAAGCTTTATATGATTTGTAGTTAAAGAGCTACATTAGTATGGTCCTTCACACAAACAGCTAAGAGTCAGTGTTTGTTCAGTAGGTGATGCAGAATGTTAACCTGAACAGTGTTACCCCCCTGCAGGTGTTGCTCCTACGTGGGGAGGAGAGGCGATGGCCCTCAGGCCATCTCTATCGGAAAGAACTGTGATAAGTTTGGCATCGTGGTTCATGAACTCGGACATGTGATTGGCTTCTGGCATGAACACACACGTCCAGACCGTGACGAGCATGTAAACATAATCAGAGACAACATCCAACCAGGTACTACAGCTACATATGTGTTGACATTAATAGGTTTGAAGGGATGCGTGCTCTCACTGACCCGTCAGGTGTGTGTCCTTGCATTTAGTCTATTGACAGTGTGTATATGAATAGGACAGGAGTATAACTTCCTGAAGATGGAACCAGGTGAGGTCGACTCACTCGGGGAGGGATATGACTTTGGCAGCATCATGCATTATGCAAGGAATACATTTTCCAGGTTGGTGTGTGATGCACTCTTATTCCTTCACATAGTTTCTATCCAAAATGTATTAAGATGACTGCAATAACTACATCACTTTTATTTCCAACCTGTGGGTTTCCTAAGTTTGTTTTCATCTCTACCTTGGCTCGCATCAACAGGTCATTAAACAGCTCCTGCAACATGGGTAGTATTTCCATCAACCCTTGGACAGTTTTTCAGTAAATGCTAGCTCAAGGACCTAATATGTTGAGCTTGTAACTCAAGCAGATCGCACCATCTTGTGTATTTGAACTGGCAAAATACAGTGTACGGGCCTGCTTTTCTAACCATGTCATCATCGCAGCTATCGTGCTTCTCGCATCCTTAATCAGTGAATAAACTCTTTTTTTAATATATGACTTTGAACTACTATATGTTCTACTGATAAGAGTTCTGACCTGTTAGTTGTACAATATTTAATGCAGCGTTCACAGTCATTTAAAAAAACCAGCATCAAGTCCAGTCACAATCATATGAAAGAATCTCCCCAACTACTGTAATATTAAGCTGCATTATCGGCTGAGCTGCCACACTGACCTGGTATCTGTCTCTTCATTCAGCTCTGCTAGGCACACTCCATAGCAAACCTTGGGGGATTTGGTTTTTTATTGTCACAGAAAAAAACAGAAAAAAGCAATGGGGTGACAACATGCACGAGACAGAAATGAAAAGGAAACTAGCGTGAAACTATGTTTTTTTTTTTTTTTTCCTCCATCACTGCTTTGCTGGTCTGGGTCATGGAGACAAGCCAAGTTAAATAAAGGCCTGGCAGTTCATGGCTTTGTCAAACAATTTGAGCTGGAGTGGCCTTTTTCTCTGGCATTCAGGAGCGGGCTCCACTGAGCTGCCTGGCACCAGCGAAAGGCCCCATTCAGAGCACTGTTTGCACATGCCTGTCTTTCATGGGTGCATCACCATGAGAACTGAACAAGAGTGAGCTCCAAGCCCAGTGAGAGCTTATCAGAATCAATAAAGTATCAAGGTGTTGAACTGCAGTCAGATCTGACAAAACCTGCTCTAGAATCAGTCTTTCTGTCTGAACTTTTTCCTGCTCATCAGTGCTGTTAGAAGAGATTGTTCCTGATCAGGTTTTTTGTGCTGTCATAGATATTTGTAGATGCCTTGATCCCGCGGAATGAACTGCTTACATCTGTGATTTGTCTGAAACAGAGGAATCTTCTTAGACACAATCTTGCCCAAATATGATGTCAATGGAGTCAGGCCACCTATTGGACAGAGGACTAAGCTTAGCAAAGGGGACATTGCACAAGCCCGCAAACTCTACAAATGTGCAAGTAAGATGCATTTGGCGTGTGGAAAATATGATCAGCTAATGACTAGATCCTTAAAATGAAATCTTGATTTTAAACAGATACAAAAACTGATATTTTAAAGCTGCATTAACTAACTTCTCCCTCTAATTTAGGACTGAAAAGTGAGAGTCAAAACAAACTCAAGCCGTATCCTCTCCTTTTCTCCCTCTGCTCCTCCTTGCCCCTATTGCCCTGTCTGTGAAACTAGGTCATATGTGGTCACGACAGCCAGAGACAGTTGTAGCAGACAGGTAACGCAGCAGTACTAACGGGCTCCAGAACCAATTTATATGGAATATAGAGCCTGTGGTTTTGAGTGGCACTGCAGTGACACAGTGTCAAATAAAGAAGTTTACATTGTAGTGATATGCGTATGTATGTCTAACGTTGTTCATAGCGGATGTATCTGCAACAACACAAGGAAATTATACAGAGGAATGTGTTTACCAGTAATATTGATAACAGTCCTAATGTTCAGGCCACTATCACATCGCGTTCAGTGTTACCTGCTCAACACACATAGAGTATGTGAAATGAAAAATTTCAAGTTCAAGTTGAACAACTTCCCACTTTTCTAGTTGTGTTGGTGGCATCAATTTTAACAGCTTCTCTCTAAAATATTACAGACGGCAGTGTTATGTCCCACATAAACTGGACCAAAACCAAGCAAAAATTAGCCAAATTACTTCATTTGTTGATCCTGGAAAATGGTCTGTTTTCCCTTAATTGGACAACAAAACACTGCCGTTACAGTCAGTTGGAATGACTCCAAATTACAACCACTATAATTCAATACAAAGGTACAAAACTGAAAAGCTAATAATAGCTTGCTAATGATGCCAACATATACACATTAGCCGGCTACAGCATTTTCGTGTCTAGCAGAAAGAAAGCCACATCTGTGTCAAATTTTAGCCCTTTTGATGCTTTTAGTGCTCTTCATCTCCAACATGCCAACCCTGGTTTTTGTCTCGTTCTTTGTCACACGCTTTCTGTGTTACAGAACGCAGCCTCTTGTCCAGCACGGAGAAAACACTTCTAAATGTTTTTTTTTTACTTGATTTATCTGAATCTGTGCTATATCTTAGTTAATGCAGCTTTAAGCTCCCTGTTCTTCATTCTGGATATTTAATGTTATTGCTCTCATCCATCGGAGTATAACCATGTTGATATTATTGTGTGTGGCTGTGACAGAGTGTGGGGACAGCCTGCAGGAGAGTTCAGGAAACTTCTCTTCTCCTGGTTTCCCCAACGGGTACTCAGCATATGCTCACTGTGTGTGGAGGATTTCTGTCACTCCTGGAGAGAAGGTGAGCCAGGAAAAACAAGTTAAGGAATCTGAACCCTAACTAAGAATTTGGGTTTGACATTATAAAATATCAAAAGTCCAAAAATTATGAATATTCCACTAATCTATATTTGCTCATATTGTATGAATCCTATTAACAGAATGTCATACACAGTGGTGGAAGAAGTACTCAGATTTTTTACTTAAGTAAAAGTATCAAAACCTCATTGTAAAAATACTCTTTTACAAGTTTTACAAGTTTAACTGGTCACAATGTAATTGGTTAACTCAATCATAACCTATGCAGCATTCATAATGCAATACAGAACATGTATTGTTAATAACTGATTTGTTAATAGTGACCAAAATCATACATGTATAAGTGTATAACACTACAGAGATATACATGCAAAGAACACCAGTTACTGTAAATAAATAAAGTGACAGTTCTAAACTATCAGTTTGACCCAGTGCAGGACCATTATTCAGTAATCAGTACATGGCTAGTCCTGTGTCAGAATGAAACAGCTTGTATAATATCTTAATACAGACGTCATTATCCTGAACAGAATGCAGAAGCCACTGTGGTGTCATCATTTAATCTAGGTGCTCTTTCTGTTCTTCTTGATGCCATAGTTACTTATGTATAACTACCCAACCCTGTCTCTCACTTTCACTCTCTGTTTCACTGTGTTTCTCACAGATTGTTCTGAATTTCACATCCATGGACCTCTTTAGGAGTCACTTGTGCTGGTATGACCATGTGGAGGTTCGAGATGGGGTCTGGAGAAATGCTCCTCTGAAAGGTCTTTAACTTTGATTTAGCCCTCCTCTATACTCCACAGAGTATCATCCAGAAACCTGTCTTTAACTTGGTGGGAAACTTTACAAGTCATGTATGCTTTGTGTTATCCTTCCAGTGTGTTAGGATATCCTATCTTGTCAGAACATTTAGTTCCATTAGGTAAGTTTAAGATCATGTACGACATGAGGTGATGTCTCAGTCAGCAGCGTCCTGACATTAATGTGTGTATGGCAAAGTTGGCTTGATCTGGTTCACCTGAGGTTCTGATAACATGTGGGTTTAAGATCAATCTGTTGAGAGTTGTCTCTTCACTATTCAATATATTTAAGAAGACAATTGTGGCTGTCTGAGCATCTTCTCTCCCTGGAATCTGGGGTTTTCGTCACCAAAGCTGACACATGTTTAGTACTAAACATTGTAAAGTACTTACTAACAGGCAATGTAATTATTTCCTCATCTAATTTGTCAGGCCGTTTTTGTGGGGACACACTTCCAGATCCAATCATCTCTACTGACAGTCAATTGTGGGTCGAATTCAGAAGCAGCAGCAGCTGGGTTGGCAAAGGCTTTTCAGCTGTTTATGAAGGTACAACACTCACAATATGGTAGTTTTAATATGCACTTCCTGTACACTACATCCTTATGTGACTCATCAGCCACTGCTGTACGTTTTCCAAGCTTTACATTTGATTTCATTGTACAATGTGGAAAAGGCAGTTGCCATTAAGCTCACTTCTCTCCTCCGCTGCAGCCATCTGTGGGGGAGAGGTGAGGCGGGACAGTGGCCAGATCCAGTCTCCTAATTACCCTGATGACTACCAGTTTAATAAAGTGTGTGTGTGGAAAATCACTGTAGCCGAGGGTTTCAGTGTCAGCCTCACTTTTCAGTCATTTGAGGTAAAAAAAAACAAACAAACAAAAGATATCACCTTTACTGTGTTCATTTACATTTCTCTGTTTAATGTTGTCAGCTCATGAATTGGTATGAAAGTTGACTCACTTAACATGCGAGAAGATAACCTTTATCTTATCCACCTTTAAATTCCTTCAGACACCCTACAGATTTTTAAAATTTTTGGTAGCTCTTAGTGTTTCCTTAGAACGCAGGAAGAGACCTTACTATCTTTTGCAAACTTCACTGTCATTTCTTTGACTGCAGATTGAAAAACATGACAGCTGTGCCTACGACTATGTGGAAGTAAGGGATGGCAGTTCAGAGAGCAGCCTGCTGCTCGGCCATTTCTGTGGCTATGACAAACCAGATGACCTCAAAAGCAGCTCCAACCAGCTCTGGCTGAAGTTTGTATCTGATGGATCAGTCAACAAAGCTGGGTTTACAGCCAGCTTTTTTAAAGGTCACTAGGTCATTTAGCACCTATGTCAGATGATGCTTTTGTTTAGCACAGAAAACTAATCCTATTGAACATTCATGTGCTAGAGATGGATGAGTGCTCCACACCTGACAATGGTCACTGTGAGCAGCGTTGTCTGAACACGCTGGGCAGCTACAGATGTGCCTGCGACCCAGGGTATGAACTAGCAGCTGACAGATACAGCTGTGAAAGTGAGTGTAAAGCACAACGCCACACGCTAACATTATACCTATACCCTGTATTATACTGCTGTCACTGTAAAATATGAAACAAGCTAGTTGAAGCATCATCTGGAGGCCGCTGCTGCCCCCACATGGCACGCTCCTCTCACTGCAGCATAACCGGCACACCCTATTCACTATGGCTAAGTGCTCTGCTCACCACCGTAATCTCAGTTCCCACCTGTAGGCCTTCAGACTAGAGGTTTGCATCATCACTCCCTGCTGCTCTGTGCATTTTTTCCTTCTTGACTTTATTCATTCTCAGGACTATGCAACATTTGGCATATGCCCAGCTGAATCACTTTTTTGGCAAAAAAAGAGAAATAAATAAATTAACTAACTAATAATAACACACAAGTGTTTTAAGAAAGGGTTCTCATCTCTTTCTCCCAGCTGAAGCATGATTCCCTGCTAGTTTGCTCTTCAACCACAAGAGGGCAGCACTCTTGCTGCAACTTCATTTTGAGTCATGACCTGATCATTACAACACTGATTTGATTAATGTCAGTAATATAAATGGAATTACATTTTCCTTCAGTACAGTACAACTCAGTCCATTTCCTGTTTTTTAATTAAACATTTATCCAGCAACTTTGTGATTTACTAGAATTTCATCTCTTAAATTTCTTTACTACAATTTGTTATTTCACAAATTTTACTTGGTTTTCACTTTATTTCTTGACATTAGCTTGTAATTATGAGCCTTCAGTTTTAGAGGTCATGTTTTCCTGCAGTCAAGGTGTTAATAAAAATGTTAAAGAATTCACAAAGTCACAAATGGGTTATGTTACTTTTATCATGCAAGTGTTTTCCTTTCACATTCATACCACTAAAATCAGTGCTTTCTCCCACCAGCAGCTGCCTGTGGTGGGTTTATCACCAAGCTGAATGGCTCCCTCACCACCCCCAGCTGGCCCAAAGAATACCCACCCAACAAAAACTGTGTGTGGCAGCTGGTGGCACCTGTTCAGTACCGCATCACTCTGGTGTTCGATGTGTTCGAGACCGAGGGAAATGATGTAAGTTACGTGTGGAATTATGGCTAATGTAGTGTTTCTGCAGAGGTTTGATCACATGACCTGCTCATGGCAGTTCCACAGGCCAGTTCTGCTTTGTCCTTGGTAGTAAGTAAAATTGTCTAATGTTTACTATCAGGTGTGTAAATATGACTATGTGGAGGTGCGCAGTGGGTTCAGCTCAGACTCAAAGCTTCATGGAAAGTTCTGTGGAGCAGAGAAACCCGAGGTCATCACCTCCCAACATAACAACATGAGGATTGAGTTCAAGTCTGATAACACTGTTTCCAAGAAGGGCTTCAAGGCTCACTTCTTCTCTGGTAAGACCTGAAGAGTTAGGCATTTAGGAGGTACTGACAAACTGTTAATACACATTTACTGTCCAGATCCAGTAAAGTAAGATGGGCCAATCACTGCCACTAAGCCATTAAAGCTATATGTTCTGCAACTTTTCTGCAGCGTAATGAGACACGTTCACATGTTGTGCAAATGAATTTTGAATTAAAATTCTTAACAATTTCTCAACAGATATAGATGAATGCTCCAAAGAAAATGGAGGCTGCCAGCATGAATGTGTGAACACCTTTGGAAGCTACAGCTGTCAATGTCACAGTGGCTTCATGCTGCATGATAATAAGCATGACTGCAAGGAAGGTACAGTATGTCCAGTGCTGTCCCCTATCTTTGTGATTTAAGACACTTTAATACACTTGTATTCTCCTAGTCCCAATGGAAACTCTTGAGACAGGGAAACTCCCCAGTATTTTCATGTGAAAGGTTTTACCTTCGCTTTCATTTTAATGTTCTTTTTATGGATGCCTTTTCCAAGGAAAGTTCCTCAGAGGAAATTATGTAAGTTCTTGTTGATGCAACTTGCATTGTCTTGATTTTCCAGCTGGCTGTGATAATGTTGTAAAAAGTGTATCAGGCATAATCAGCAGTCCCAACTGGCCTGGCCAATATCCGAGCAAGAAGGCCTGCACCTGGACTCTGTCCACAACCCCAGGTCATCGGATCAAATTTGTATGTCAATGGATGTTTCATTTAAAAGTTATATTATGACCCAGATAAGAGACAACAAGTAACTTATCAAAGTCATTCATAGCCTTTAAAAATGCTGTTCAGGTTTTCAACGAGATCGACATGGAGGCTCATCTGGAGTGCGCTTACGACCATCTGGAGATCTATGATGGGCAAGATGTCCATGCCCCAAGTTTAGGACGCTTCTGTGGTGCCAAGAAGCCTTCTCCGGTTGTGTCCAGTGGCAACAAACTGTTCTTGCGTTTTTTCTCAGACAGCTCGGTCCAGAGGAGAGGCTTTGAGGCTTCATACAAAGCTGGTGGGCAAAGCAGCCTTAAAGTTATTGTTCTGCTCCAAAGAATGTGTAGAAATATAGTAAATGTTACTTTGGAGAAAGAGTAGAATACCAGAATTGTGATGTTTCAACAACGGTATGAGTTTGTTTTCTATTGTGTTTAGAAGGCTGCATTTGTTCTCACTTTTATGAGTTCCTCTTTTTCGCTCCTTTGATTTTGTGGCTGTGAATTCCCAGAATGTGGAGGAAGCCTTAAAGCCGATGTCAAGACAAAAGAGCTGTACTCTCATGCACGGTTTGGAGATAACAACTACCCCGGTGGCTCCGACTGTCTGTGGGTGGTCACTGCTGAGAAGGGTTACGGAGTGGAGATTGTCTTCCATGTGTTTGAGATCGAGGAGGAAGCGGACTGTGGCTATGACTATGTGGAGTTGTATGACGGCGCTGACGTCAAATCTCCAAGGCTGGGACAATACTGTGGTTCTGGGGTAAGGCTAAAAGTATCTGTCTTGTGTAGCAAACACACTGTAGAAAACAAAATGTTTCTTTAAAAGCATTCTCTTTTTTCTGTATCCTTTCCTCAGGCTCCAGAGGAGGTCTACTCAGCTGGAGACGCAATAGTTTTAAAGTTTCACTCAGATGACAGCATCAATAAAAAAGGCTTTCATGTACACTACACGAGCATAAAGTTCCAGGACACATTACACGCAAGCAAGTGACTGTCTAAACCAACCCCGACCCTAAAGGCATACTTCAGCCTAACATTTGGTCGGACACACCCATTTCCACATGAGGAGTGAATGCATTGTTTGATACCACAGATGGCAACTCGCATACTTGACCTTCATTTTTCATTCTGTTAAAAGAGTGAAGCCATTACTCGTCATCATAACATAGCTAACATAGCTACATATACCATAAAATGCAAGGTCTAGTTTAAAGTGATTATTTTGTAATGAGTTGATTATGTCATAGAAATGTGTTAAGATGTAAAATGTATATACTGTGATATAGTTTGATATCAACTGTGCCACTTTTTACTGTCTGAGGTTCATTTTTAATGAATGTAAGGCACCTGACAAACGCACATAATGATAATGGAAGACAGGAAAACTAATGTGTTGAAAACACCACAAGTTGCTTCTCTGTTATTTAATCCTTTTTCTGACCTTGCTTTAGTTTTTGAGTTCCCATGGAATACATTAATAGTCTAATTTTCATTTTCTCTTTTTCAAAACAACATGGTTTCCGTAGCTGCTTTTCTGGCTGATGTTTGTGTGCATCAGACTCTTGCAGCACACAACAGTGCACCATGATAATCGATGAGATTAGTGCCACATTCTTCAGCCTGCTCAATATTTTTCCTTTATACCTTAGACTAGTGTACATGTTAAACCTGATCTTACAGAACTTATACCAGCTGAAATTTGCTGCTGTCACATAGAAGTGTACTCCAGGATATTGGGTGTGGGTACAGGTGCAACAGTACACATTTCTGATTGCGCCCAACCACACTCACTTTATGTGTGGTTAAAGGAGAAACCTGAAACTTTAAACCAGAGAGGTCAGAGAAACAGCCTGGCATTTGAAGTTAAATAAGAAAGGTAAAGATGAATGCACTCCACAGGTGCCCTAAATCCCGGCCGGCAATCAGGCGAAGGCGGGGTACACCCTGGACAGGTCGCCAATCCATCGCAGTAGAAAGAGCATCTTTAGTTTATTCTTAAGCAATGACAAATTGTGCTTTAGCATCTACAGTATGTAAACAAATGATGGAGAAGTTTATTTTTACATTAGGAAGAACACACTTTGGAACACAATTTAGAGAAATACTTTTATTATTCTGTGTGATACTGGGTGCTATTTAATGCATCGGGCTTTGGATCAACCAAACCAAAATGTAAGTACACTCAGTTCATCTCGCAATTACAAAGTAAATATCCAGAATTGTTATTTGATCATATAAAAACATTACCATTAAACCCATGTTGCTGTTATAGTATGTATGTCTCATTACGCTGTTTGTTACTAGCTCTGTTCAAAAAGATTTATATTTCCCACGGGCCTTGAATGCACCAAATTCATCATTAGCGTAATATGACACCAAATAATCAGCAAAGCATAATGAACATTTTTCAGCATGTTAGATAATTCAAACAATCAGTACTAAATGATTATAATGTTTCATGGAGTGTATTAGTGTATAATACATAAGAAAAAATGCTGAATGGAAAAAGGGCATTGTAATCCATTAACTTCAGTTTCACATTCTTCACTGAAGCACAGCTTCTCTGAAATGAAATGTGTGGCAGTAGATTCAGTCGACATACCGACAATGTTTCTTAAGATACATGTGTTTCTACTGGACAGATAATAATAACAGTTTCTTGCACAAATATATTGTTGCATCTAATTCTGTGCATTTTGCAGTCGGAATGTTTTTCTGCTTATCTGGTAACCTTTGACCCTTTTCTTGCATTTTTCCAAAGTTTGTTAAATCTTTGGTAAGAAAACTTTGAGAGGCTCATTTTCATGCACTTTATCAAGGAAGCCCAAGTTGAAGTAAGGGTACAGCGTCTCGGTAAAGGTCTCCCTGAAGGTGTAGAGGTGTGTCATGCTCTCTGCATTGTAAAAGGACACCAGGCCCCTCTTGTAGTCAAGGTACACTCCGATCCTGGCCAGCGGCTCCTCCAGGGACAGGACAGT